ATTATTATTATAATTATAATTAATTATTTAAATAATTAATTTGAAAATTTTAGCATTAAAATAAGGAAAAACGTTTGCATTTGTGTCGCGTCGCGTCGCGTTGTAACGCGACGCGACACGACACAAATGCATACTTTGACATTCTTTAAATAAACATCCAACTAAACATATATAAAGTTTTGCTATAATTCATCCTAGACAACTACCACAGACATCACCATAGACTATGGTTTCATATATCCATATACGACATCATTTACAAAGTGTCGCGTTGTAACGCGACGCGAAGTGAATGACGTTATCTACAGACACACGAAACCATATAATTTCACAAGTATAAGCGCCAGTCTATGAAATCCATTCAAAATTTCTTAAGTACACAAATGTCAATACGAATCTCCGTGTAAATAATCACACAAGAAGTCTAGTTACACGGATAAATCCCAGAATACATTTCTTTCTCTTATTATTCAATTAAAATATATTAAAAATAAACCTTATTTTAAAACTAAATAGAATCATTTTTAACGAGCCAAAACAAACAAAAAAAACCCTAGAAAAGAATTTTTTTTTTAATTTAAATACTAAATTTTCGAAATGGCAATTTTTCAAAACAAGAAGAAGAAATGATAATTTCCAACTATCTTCAGGCAAAAATAATTTTCTTTTGAAAATATGCCTTATTAAATCTTATATGTATATAAAAAGGTTAAATTTGTAAGAGAAAAAATAAAAAAGGAGGAATATTTGTACTACTCCATACGTAATTCTGTACGAGACGATGTTCTTTAATGAGTCCTTTGTGATGATTGAAACTTTTTGGCCATTTCTTAGGAAATCATCATCATTAATGAAGCTTGTGGCTATTCATTTCAATCACGCAATGTAAAATGTCAGCAAAAATCAACGCTTCAATACTTAGTTATTGATGTTACCGACTTCATAAGTTTTGCTTCTGGTATCGTTCGACTGATATCCTTTTTTTTTCCTCCTTATTCTTCTTCTTCTTCTTCTCTTTATTTATTTCGCTACATTACGTATCTTCATCAATCGACTTTTAAATAATTTCGGTAAAATTTTCGCTAGACTAAAATAAGAAAAATTGCTTAGTCAACGTTTAAAGTTTTGTTAAGTTTGTCAGCACTTATTAATTTGTTGGAGACCGCTTTATTTTTTAGTCATTTATTTATTTATCTCGTGTGTAGGTAGATTGATATCTTTCAATCGCAATTTCTTTTCAATTCTTTTGAATTTATGCGCTGTTGGAAAGAAATGATTAAATTTCCTTTAAAGTTTAAATTTAAAAAAAAAAAAGAAAAATTGATGAATTCGTACAAGAAATAAATAGAATATATTTGAAAAGTTAAAGATGTTTCCGTGTAAAAAATTAGTACATTTAATGGGTATTTTTTTACATGTATAAGTGAATTGAAAATGTTCGCATGCCAAAATATTATGATGATCTTTCATGTCAAATCGGAACAATAACATTGCTCGAGTGCCAAAAGAGTTAGAGAAATTTATAGATTTTCGACATTATACATGATTTAAAACACTAAAAATATCTGGAATTACTACATTAATTTATTTTTTTTTAATATATTTTTAAGGTACATTAATTTTAATTTGTTTAAGATGTCGAAAACATCAATATTAGTTTTAATATTTTTTTTTAACTCGTACCTGTATTGAATGAATTACAACCACGATGAATATTCCATTAACGCATTAAATAACATTGATAAATATCTTCAAACGAACTGTTAGAAGTTTCTTAATATAAATACAATCAATTCTATTTAAAAGGTTTAAGTTTATTCTTTTATTTTTCTGAAGAACTTCTTCGCCGGCCGCCATTTTGGTTCTCAAAGGAAAGGTTTCTTCAATGGATATTTCGTGTAAGAGTATGATTAAATTATGAAACATTAGCCCTATATTTGTTTAATGGCAAAGATGAGCAACAACATAAAGAATCGAGTTAGATGGTACTTAAAAAGGATTACTTAAGCTATACATCATCTTGTTAATAGTTGCTTGTGCATAAAATGCATTTTACTTAGATAAAAATTGAAAAGTGTTTACTTTCTCAATTTAACCTTATTAAGAAAAGAATATTTATCACCCAATCTTAATAAAATCTATAGGTTAAAATAGAAATTTATATTATTATTAAATTTTATTCTTTTTACGTATGTAATCGATACTAACTTCTTCTTCTTCACTCACATGTCACTTCAATACTAATTAACATAATTACGTACTGTAAAAAGAATAATTTTAAAAAACGAATATTCATTTTTTTTAAAGTTATATAAATTTTAAATTTAAAAAATTTACATATTTTAATTTGATATATGATTAACACGAAAACTTTTTGATTGCTTCAATAATATAATTTCAAACTGTTTTATTATATAAATTGTATGAGATTGAAATTCCATTATTTTACAGAAAATTACTTTTTCATTTTTTTTTATTATTATTATAATCATTTATGGAAATATTCTGAATTTTATTTATTTATTTATTTATTTCTATTACTTTTAGTTAAAGTTAAGGAATTTATTATTAATTGAAAATAAAAGAAATATGATCTAATTCAACACACGTCTTGTTTATGGCAATAGGATGATTGTCATAAACAGAAATGTCATCAAGTCGAAGCTGTTCCTGTTTTTTTCCCCTCCTCCTCCTCCTCCTCTTTGCTTTCTACAGAAGCATACATACGAAGAATTCCATTGAAAGAATGATGGAT